TGAAAAAGTTGCCAACAGACTTGGGAAGCCTAATTGACCTACGTCATCTCGATACTACAAATGCACATTCCTTAAAAGAAATGCCACTGGGAATAGGTGAGTTGGCTAGTCTTCAAACACTGTCCAATTTCATTGTTACTAAAAACAATGTATCTGATTTCAAAGAGTTGGGGAACTTAATTTATCTTCGGGGGAAGCTTTGCCTGTCTGGGTTACAGAATGTGGTGGTTCCATTAGATGCAAGGGAGGCGAATTTGAATGATAAGAATGCGTTAGATGTGTTATCAATGGAATGGAGTGTTAACTCAGATGATTTACGAGATGGAAGAGTTGAAACAGAAGTGCTTGACATGCTACAACCTCACAAGAATTTAAAAGAGCTCCATATCAAAGGCTACCTTGGTACAGGATTTCCGACTTGGATAGGAGATGCTCTATTCTCCAATATGACTGACATAAGTTTAGATAATTGTGGAAATTGTGCATCCTTGCCACCACTCGGACAACTACCCTCCCTTAAAAAGCTTTACATTACAGGTATGAGTTCATTAAAGCATGTTGGTTGTGAGTTCTACGGGCAAGGTGGTGTTCAACCTTTTTCGTTACTGGAGACTCTAAGCTTTGAGAATATGCCAGAATGGGAGGATTGGTATACTTTTGGAGATCACAAAGAAGTTCAACCATTCACTCGTGTCAAGTCTCTCTCCCTAATAAAATGTCCCAAACTTCTTAAAATGTTGCCTACTGATCTACCTTGTTTGAATAATCTAGAGATTAGGGACTGCCCGAAACTCTGCGGAATGATGCCCAAGCATCTACCTTGTTTGAATAATCTAAAGATTTCAAAGTGCCCGCAATTCCTAGTTGAAGGTTCCAGCATTAGGCTCCCGTCACTCACCTCGATAGCTATGAATGACGTTCCTCTAACAAGCCTTCAAGCGGTCCTTGAGATGAGGAGCATGGTTGATGACGAACTGATATCAGCAAATGCAAAGTCTAAGCATCCGAGTTCAATAACTTCCTTGAGCATTGGGATGATTAAGAAACTTGAGCTCTTGCCGAAATGGGTTACTCATGGGCTGATGGAACTCGAAGCATTGGAGATCACAAGGTGTGAAGAACTCAAGACACTGTGGAAGAATGAGGCGAGAGTGCAACACAGTCTCCCTGCATTCCGAAGTTTGAAAATTGAAGGCTGCCCCCAGCTTGTTTCATTGTTTGAAGAAGATGAGGATGAAGACAACAAAGGGCAACATGAGCAGCAGCAGCAGCAACAAGAGGGACTCCCCTGCATAGTGAGGAGGCTTGAGCATCTAACAATAGATAATTGTGAAAAGCTGGAGAAACTGCCACGGCTGCTACATAACTTCACTTTTCTTGGAGAGTTGTGCGTCTATAGTTGTCCGAGTCTCGGCTCTTTTCCGGAGACAGGTTTTCCGTGCACGCTGAAAACACTCAAGATACATGATTGTGAGGCTCTACAATCCTTATTCGGGTGTTTAACACAGATTAATGACAATAATCTTCAATTATTAGATGTTCGTGATTGTCCATCCCTCACGTGCTTGATATCGTGCAGAGGTGGGGGGCTACCACCCACACTCAAAGTGCTTGATATTTGGAGGTGTAAAAAGTTGGAGGCACTGCTAGTAGTAGAGGAGGGGATGGAAATTAATTGTCAATCTCTTGAGTCTGTTTGGATCAGGGATTGTGATAGGCTCAAATACTTGCCAGATGCCCTTCCTAATAATAATACTAATCTCAGGAATCTCAGTCGATTGTCCTTGTATGGGTGTAAGAATTTGGAGTACATTCCGGAAGGATGGTTCCACTTCGCAACAAATCTGGCAGATTTGGAGATCAAGGGATGCAAAAAACTCAAGGCCCTACCACACGAATTGCAGAGCATCAACTACCTCACTTCTCTTCAATCATTGGGGATGAATATTCCACATTGGAACAACAACTTCAAGAAGACTGGTTTGCACAGTTTATCCTCTCTTACAGAACTGTCGATTTCAGGGGCAATTAGCGTGGCAGAGGAAGAAGAAGAAGAAGAAGAAGCGGGGTCCAGCTTTCCGATAGATGGGAAGTTGCTGCCCACCTCTCTGATCTCGTTTTGGATCGAAGATTTCCGAAATCTGGAGAAGCTATCTTCTAAGTTGTTTCAAAACCTCGCCTCTCTTGAATCTCTTCATATCTGGGGTTGCCCTAGGCTCAAATCTTTACCAGTGCAAAGGCTGCCTCCCTCACTTGAGGAATTGTGGATCCGTGGAAGTCGGAAACTAACAAGGAAGTGTGAAAAGGGGAAAGGCAAATATTGGCCCCACTTAGCTCACATGCCTCGAGTCGATGTTGATGATGAGTGATAAGCTCTGTTGTGGAGATTCCCACCGCAGTTTTACAAGCACTCAAATTGCCAGGTATCAAAACATAAACTAATTTTATAAGTATAAACATTTAAAAAATATTTTCAGATTTTAAAAACAAAAAAATCATATGAAAAACATTAAGGTGATGTTTGGGAAGAATTGCAGTTGGGTTTTTTCTCATTTTTTTTGCTAAAAGACAAAAATTTTGCAAAATAAAAAAAAAAAACACATCCAAACAAAATATCACATCCAACCCCATAATCATTTCGCTTTTTCTCTCACAAATATCACATCGAACCACAAAAAAACTCAACTATCTTCCCAAACACAAAAAAAAATAATTCTTCAATAATATCCTACATCTAAAAAAACTTACATAAAAATCCACTTTCCAAACACCATCTAAGTGTTTTTAATTTTTAATTTTTACTTTTACAGATTTTAAAAAACTTAATCAAGCAATCTAATTGATAGTAAAGATTTCTATCATTGCTAATTTTTAATGTCTTTTTGCTTATTGATTTTCAAAAAAAATTTGAATGAGGGATCGCTGAAATATGCAATATATCATATTTTCAAGTTAATCGAATTTTTTTGGATGAGTAAGTTATTTGCGAATTCATATAAAAATTTAAAATAAAATGAATTTGTATTTTCAATTAATAAAAAATATTTTTTGAAAATAACGAAAAAAATATGTTAAATTTAAATTTGGAGGACCATTATGGAATGAGTAAATAATTTTTAAAATTTTGTTTGGTTTTGGAGTTTTCAAAAAAAAATTAAAAATTTTTAATTCGTATTTTTTTAATATATTGGCTAATTTGTTTTATTTTTTAGATGCATCTAATCTACATATACTTAAAAAAAATTAAAAATTAAAAAATCTTTAAAAAAAATTTAATAAATACAAAATACATACAAAAATGTATTAAATTTGTATATTTATTAATATTTAGTGATTTTTTAAACAATTTTTTTCATAAATTTTATACATTTTAGGTGTATTTAGATTGAGTGGATCTAAAAACTTGAAAACCTTGATTAAATACTTAAAAAGTTCACTAAAAACAATAAAATACATATTGAAACTTCAAAATTATTTTTGAGAACTCCAAAACCAAACAGAGTTTCAAAAATTATTTCAGATTCTAAAAACTAAATGAGTTTTGGATTTTTAAATTTTTGAAAATTGTTTTTAGAATATATAGCCAAACAAATTTTTAGGAAATTATCTTTCAAAATTGATTTCAAAAACCAAACCTTAGTTTTTTGGGTTTTTTGCTAGTCATTAATAAAATATTTTTGTATTTGTTACGTTGTTTCCTATATAGTGACCGGGAAAAGTTAGATTGAAAGTGATTAGGCTAATACAAATTCTTGTTGAAGGGAGAATTTTTTTGTCGGTCAGATGAGGGTAATGTTAACAAAAAAAAAAAAGAAAAACAAAAAAGAAAGAAAGACAATGAAATGCTGTGATGTAAGTAGTTTGCAATTGCTTAGAAAAATTAAACAATTTTTTTGCTGTTGTAAGAGCTAACTTAAAAAGTTATAAACAAATATACGCATATCAGGTGTCCAAATTTCATTTTTGTGAGTTGTTTAATAAATATGGAAACTGAAAGCAATTTTAATTGTATATCTGGAGTCGTTACATTTTTTGTATGAAAAAAAATTTAGAGTATTGAGTTTTATCAATCTATGAGGGATTATTTGATACAGAAATGTGCTTTCAAGGATCTAAATACAAAGAAAGGCTTCTTTCGATAGATTTCCTCGTCTGTTTTTATTTCTGAGGCAACCACAACAAATGGAAGAGTTCACATTTCTTTCCAGCTTGGTGCATTTGTCCCTGGATATCCTGTCCATCCAGTGATTGTTTGCTATCCCCTTGTACACTTTGACCAATCCTGGTAAGAATTTTCTTGAGTTGAAACCGTTTTGGTGTTGTCTTTTGTAATATCTTTACCTAACTTGCATCATATGGCCTTTCATTTTGTTTAGGGGAAATATAGCTTTGGGAAAGCTCATGTTTAGAATGTTCATAGTTTCACAATGTCATGGAGGTATGTTGAGTGATTTTTTATTTATCTATAGTTGCATATAGTGAAAATGCAGTGAGCTTTGCTTCCCCCACTATTTTTGTTTGTAAAATTTTTGGGTAGTATGCTGTATGAGGTGGCAATTCATATATATAGGTTGTTATAGTGATGCCCCAATTTGCTATTTTTCTTTTGATAACTAACTCACTCTCGCAAATCATCAATACTGATTATTCATCAGCTTAAATGTGCATGCATTTATATGATGTGGCCTTAACTATATTATAATTTGAATTTTGGTTACTGGATAACTTGTATGTTGTAAAAAGTTGAATGAAGTCATTTATTAAATTATATAGGTCGAGTATCTTCCTATTGTTTTACCCCTTGAAAATTAGTAGGAAAATGCTACCCATTTTGCTCAGAGGATGAATCGACATTATTTGATTAATCTTTGCTGCCTTGTTGGCTTTAGTTGATATTTTAATATTAAGTATATTCTTATACATCAAAGTTTTTAATGGGCACATTACATACAATTTATTAATTTTTTGTATATTGTTAACATGTTCTGTATTTCATATGCTTAATCTCCTAAGCAATTCAGAACCAGTGGATGTTTAACACACCGTAAAAATATTGTAATTGAATTTGTGTGATATTATGTCTATTGCATTTGTGTGTGGAAGCCTGTCCTTTTTTTTCGCATGTGTGCTCAAAGAATCAACAAATTGATGATTCCTGGTCTTTGGATTTCAAATAATAATATATATATATATACAAAGATCAAAATTTCGTTTCAGTGTGTTGCTTCAAATAGTACAGAAACAAAAACATCTCGGAAATATTTTATGAAATAAAGATAAAATAGAAATGCTTGAAAATATAAATTGAAATATATCTAAATGTATAAAAGCCTAATAATTGATTAATTAAACAAATTGAGATTCATATAGTCATTCACGTAAAAGAATTAAAAAACTAATGTTACTATGAACTAAAATTATTAAGTATTGTTAAATAACTCAATTTTATTAAACAAAAGTTTCCAATAAGGACTAAAATTTTACTTAAGCAACAGTAATAAATGTTTATGAAAATTTCTAAATTTGTATAGATACAATTTACTCTTTCTGTATATCACACTATGTTTCGGTGTGTTTCACTATGTTTTGATGCGTTTCAATGAAAACACTAGAATTTTATTATTCCATTAGTGTTTCATTTTGGTCTCTTGGGAAATGGCAACATTTTGGCCATTTCAATGGAAAAAAACGAAAATTTTGTTCCTCATATATATTAAAGATAAATCCATGTCAAAAAGTTTTCATTCATGTGTTGTTTATGTTTTTCATGTTATTTGGTTCCAAACAAATGGCATATGTACCTATTAAAATTGGGTGTAATTGCACATGCAACAGCTCTCGTGTCTTCTATGTGCACTATGTTAACTTATTACAATTGGAGGAATAGTTTCCTATTGTCAGTCTTTAGTTTGGGAAATTTGTCCCTTTTTGTATTCTTTTAGTAGCTGTTGGTGTATTGCCTTGATTCTTAGGGGCAGAGCCATGTATAACAAAGTTGGGTCAAGTGACCTCACTAGAAATTTGTGAATCTGAAATTATTATTCAGACTTTTTGAAAATTTTATTTTAAATGAGGTCAATCTTGAACTAATTTCATAAAGCATAGAGATTAATATATAATCATGTTACACCTTTTTTCCTTCTAATATTTTAGTTATTCTTTTTCATTTTCTTCTTTCTTTTAATTCTTTTGTAGATGTTCACGTGTTACCTACCTTATACGTCACTATTATCCTAATATCCAAGGAGATGATTGCGGCATTATGTGATTGTTTAGGAGAGGATTTGCGCTTATATTTAAAAAATGCGGAAAAAAAAAAGAGGAGAACTTGTGGCATTAAAAAGGAATTGTCAACAAACACAGTGGGTGTTGTTTTCTTCAACTAAATTAACTAAACAAACCTTATGTTCAAAGGATATATCTGAATTACATTTGTTCAAAATTTTAGTGAAGGAAAATATTGTACATTTATGATTTATGGAATCAATTTTTTAACTTTATTAGCATTTATGGAATTTTAGTATTAATGATGCAAGCGGTCAGTTATTAGATTTTTGTAAAAATTAACTATTGTGGTTTTTGCTTTCATTATGGTATTTGTAATTTGGTAACTATAAATTACTTTATCCAGTTTTGTGTATTACACAAGTTTATTAGTGTACATTATGTATAATTGAAGGTTGATATCAGTGGTGAATTGTTTAATGGACATTTCTGGCTCCACAATGGTTGATTCTGCACTAATACGGAAAAGAATCCTATTTTTGTGAACTTGATGATTATCTAACAGCACACTCCATTTTGGATTTGTCTTGATTTGCCAGTTGAGCTGCCTTGAGTATTTATATCATTCTCTCTAAGTTATTTGTGGATATTGAGATTTTAATCTATCAATTCAATCCGTGATGGATATATGCAAACTAGCCATGCTATAGCTACCTCTCTTGATGTTACACATGAAGAAGTTATTGAAACTGAATGACTTTCATTAAATTGAAAACTCAGAGATATAGTACGTTATATACACTCCACATGTTTACAAAATATCTAACGAAAATATCTACCTAACTCACTCTGTTATAACAAGCTGAACTAACACTTGACTTGTTTGGTTTGCAGGACAACATATCTCTAGTCTGGTCTTGGATTATTGCTGAGTTTTGATTGGTTACTATAACTGTACAAACATCTTATTCCTATGGGGACATCATGCTGCTTGCAAAAGCTTCCGAGTCCAAATAGGTCACTTTTCGTGCTCCATGTGTTTTGACTTTTATAGTTTGAACATTCTATGAAGTGCTAGATTTCAGCTCTTAAACTTAATGTGATGGCCTTTTTTTGCGATGGACCAAGAATATTTGATGCAGCTGCAATGATGGAATTTACATTGTCTCCTTGGGATTTCATAATGTATTTAGGCGTAGGCCTTGAAACACACCATTTAACGCTTATAATTCCTCTCTTCCAAAATAAATAAGTTGAATTAATGTTTTTATTAATGACTATTGATTAATCTATATATTACTGAATGGAGGAAGGATCACAGATTAATTTGAAAAAATAGAGGTGAAAAACGCAGCAGGGAAGTCTTGAAAAAACTAATGTGCTAGTAAAAGGTCTTGTATTCCTTTAGTTCTAGTAAGGAGATTTTTCCGTCTCAACTGGAGTCTTGAAACAAATCTTTAAAATGTAAATACAGTATTACTTCTATCTATATTAATTGGTTTCTTTTCTATGGTTTTAGTAAACAATGAATTGTTAACTAATGGAGCATGAAAAAATAAAATACCCTGGAAATGAAATTTAAGGTCGTAATTTTGTGGGAAGAAGAGTATACATTATGTTGATGTTTGGTGCATCATAGAACTTGACATGTACACCTTGAATCTTTAGTGAAGATGAACATAAGCCAAATCAAGCAATGTATCTGGCTGTCCAAATTCTTAAGCATAGTTCTAGCTGCTTAATCTTGGCTGGTGAGGAGTAGATTGTTTTCAAACTTGGCATGTTGTATGGTTTCAGACTTTTCTTAGGTGTGCTCTTTCTAATTTATCAGGTAGTCACTCTTACAATTGAATCCAAGTGTGTCGAGAACACACCATGGTTAGATTGATTACTAAAGTAAAGAAAAATACACAGATGAAAATAAAGTTGTCTGTGACCATGCAATTTGTGTTTGTAGTTTAAGTTTATTATTACACCTCTTAGGTAGAGCTCTCATAAAAATAAATAAATAAAATTTGTATGTGAGATAGTGGAATTTTTTTTATATTATCTGTGTACACCAACCCCTAGTAGCCTTTGATGAGATCTCTCCTACAACCCCCCCCTCCTCCTCTTCCCCCTTCTTCTTCTTCACTCTTTCTTTTTCTCTAATATATTTTGTTTCTAAAAGTAATGGTCTTGATGTTTTGTTGTTTGTATTGTTAGTGTCATATCGATTCACTTGAAAAAAATACTCAAGGCCAAGATGATAGTTTTGTGTCCTTAGCTAAATGAAGGATCTTAAATTGACTGCATGATAGGAATGAGACTTTATACTACCGAGTATGTTTGGTGGCGATTATCAGCTTGTAAACAACAAGTGATTTAAGAATTAATTATAATTTCTCTTTAGCTAGAGAGAAATAATTTGAAGTAATGACGCATTGCTGTCGCTTTTCTCTTCATGTCCTTATTGATAACATTGAAGATTTTGCTCCAATAATATATAGTCCTACAGTAGGATTGGTTTGCCAAAACTATTCAGGGTTGTTCAGATGGCACGGGGAATGTACTTCAGTGCAAAAGATAAAGGAGAGACGATGTCCATGATCTATAACTGGCCTGGTTATCTGGTATTTTGGAAATCTATAATGCATTAATGTACAGTTTTGTTCTCTTTATTGCTTTTACCTACTCGTTGGTGATACATTAAGAGTGTCAGCCTCAGTTACATTTGCCTAAGCTAGATACAGGACAGACAGCAGCCGTATGAGCTGCAGCTTCAGTTGTAGTATGCTGCAGCTCATCAGATCAGCCACAGCTTGAAGGTTGTTAGTTTAGTTGTTAGTTTGTTAGAACCAGAGTTAGATAGTAGTTATGGTTACGTTAAGTAGTTAGGAGTTACAGTTAAGACAGTGTATCATTTCTATAAATCATTGTAAATCTATCTGTAGAAGGTATGGAAAATTGAGATCAAACTTTCTTTTTGGTATCAGTGCTCTGAGCTCCTACGAGCAGAGATCCTTGGAGATCCTTCTATGGCTACTCCAAACCCTATACCTCCATTAACCTCCATGGATACATCTTCAAGTTCTTCTTTACCTGCAAATCTTACACTATTGATTTCCAATCTGAGTGCCTTAGTGCCTACAAAGCTTGATTCAACAAATTACATTGTTTGGAAGAATCAACTACACAACATCTTGAAAGCTACGAAGCTTCTTGGATTTGTTG